GCATGGAAGCAAACCTGATAAATGCTCGACAATCTGTGTAGAGCTAAAGAAAATCTTATATTTTTCATTGCCTGTAAACAAAATCCTTTTCATGTAAGAGCGTTTTTTATTTCTTTGTAATCAAGCAATCTGATTTTATAACCTTACAGACTCCTGCGCACAGAACAATTCCCATCAATTCTGAGTTCAATACTAATCCTGACATGAATATCCAAGAAATAGATTGTATTTCTAACAGGAAGGTTTAGGTACCAAAATACCACTAAATGATGCAAAGCGTCCTGGAATCCTATCTTTCTTCCCATTTGCACTTACATCTTCTAGACCTTGCTAAAGCTTCCCAAGAAGTTGGATTTAGAGTTCAAAGACATTATTTACAAACTGCTGTTCAAAGAAGCTTTAGAAGGAGATGACACATTTCAGGTGGGGGGGAAAAAAAAAAGACATTCACAAGCTGACACACAGCCAAAGTATAAGTAAAAGAAAAAATTTTGAGAAGGAAATCCTATGAATGTCTCTATCATTGAAATCACCGCTTAGGAAGCTGGCAGAACAGATTGTTTCTTTACTGGAACAGTGTAGGAAAAACCAGAGACTATGATAAACATCCTGAAGCCAAGCCTATGGCTTCATATCTGAGATCTGTAGTCTTCTCAACATGATACAACCACCTTTTTTTTTCATCTGTGCAGAACTAAATTGAAAAGGCATTGTTGGAAGGTCAATAAGGAATAAATAATTCAATCAATATTTTTTCAAGATGTTCCTTGAGCAAGTGCCAGTGCTTATTCTTTATTCTTGCAACATCTGACATTTATGTCCATTTGTAAATCAAGCAGAAGTCCACAAGATTAGTAAAAATTATGAAAACCTTTCTTTTTCCAAGCCTTGACTCAAAGGATTGCTTGACTATTCAACTCAGGCTCAGCCTGGGTTCATGATTACTTACTATTTTACAATTAACCAGATTATCTAATTCAAAGCAAATATCTCTGTGTAGCTGCGAGGTACCAAAGTAAACAGAGCAACAATTACAAAAGGGATCTCCAAAAGCTGCACACAGAATATTGACCAAGTTATGTTGGAACACACACTGAGCAAATTAAATGTAATAATAATAATAATAATAATAATAATAATAATAATAATAATAATAATAATAATAATAGTAATGAGAAGATATATTCATAACTGTAATTTGACTGGAAGGTCACAGTCTTCTTCTGAAAGCATGTTGTTAACATTAATGAAGTTTTTAATGCCCAGTTTAGCAGAACAGAAAGCAGTGATTCAAGGGGATGAGATGCCATAGGACCATAAATTTTAACTTTTGTGGTTAAGGTATGCGACTAGAATTCAAAACCCCTGAAACTTCTTCAGCCATAGACTCGCTTTGACACTGATGTAAAAGACTTGGTCTCAAAGCCTAAGATTTTTCCCAATAGAATGGCAGTTCTCCACTTAGCAGATGTACTGTGCATCTTACCTTTAATGATACTGTCAAATCCCAATATCCAAAAGCCATGACCTATTTCTAGCTCTTCCACTTACCAAGTGATGAGAACTGAGAGAGTCTTCTTCTTTGTTATTGTGGTTTGACTGTAGACTGTTCATATTTACCAAGTCTTCTCTGAAACAGGGAGAATTAAGTTGTTTCCCAATGGCAGCTTTTTCTTACATTCCTGGGGTTCTGAAAAAATGCAGCAAGCTTCTCACAAATTCACATATCCCCAGAACCTTCCAAGCAATGAATAACTTTCTATTACCAAATAGATCAATAAGTAGCAAGCTGTGTTTTCTACACTCAACCAACACAGTTTGTGTTGGTACAGAATATCTAATGCATTCCTCCTGCCAGGAAAGCAGTTGGGCCCTAAGTTTCTCTATTTGTTTACATTCCTTAAAGTAGAAAACATCTCCCTTGGAAGTGCAGGCAGACTATGTCTTGGAAGCTTCCACTGTTCCATCCATCACACATCTACAAAATCTGATTTTCCACACAAAAGTTCAATGTATTACTACACAGAAAAACTGGTAGTTTTATTAGGAAATACTTCAAGAGCGCACTAGCCATAGATTCAAGAAAAATCTCAAAGTTAATATTCTTATTTGAGGATAGACTCCCCTTCACTAAAAGAAAGATTGTGTTACCACTCATTTGAGAATATTACCAGTAGTACTAAACACTGTCATGTGTTACTATGCACTTACAGTATTTATATTCAAGTATACAGACAGACCAATCCTTTACATATGGAAACCTTCCACAACTTCAAAATCAACATGCTGGCTTATGGCTTAAGTTAGCTTCATGTTGGAAGCAAAAACATTGCAAGGAAAAGGCAGTTAGATTCTCCCCAAAATGCCAGTGCAGACATTGAGGCTGCTACCATGAGCAAATAGACTAGATCAGACAGAACCATCCTCTGCCAAGAACTTACATCTCTCCTTACTCCACAGCTATTTCAGAAGCTATTTCATTGATATTCATTTTAGTTGATTTGTGCCTCTGGATCTTTCGAGAAATCAGGCATATTTACATATTCCCAAATCTAATAGCATGTAGGTTTTGCTTAGAATATATTCAAGATGCTTAGAAAAGGAAAAAAAATTCATCTCCATTCCTGGACTTCCTTCTTTTGCTTTTCACTTTTTATGGTGTTTGAAAACAAAAGGTTTCATTCACAGACCACAGCAAAAACTCGAGTAATTTTAAACCAGCTAATTTATCCAGTTTACAATTTTTTTCTTGCTTTAATTTTCTCCTGCAGGTGCTCAGTTCATTATTCCATGATCATTTGCATTTGTATGAGGAGAATACAAATTTGGAGTCTTTTCTTTTACATCTTGTGATCTTTCTTGCAGGCTTCTGGTCTTCTTTCATCTCCTGTCACTCTCTTATCCAAAGTGCTAATCTCAGCTGTAACTGTCTCAAACCTTTCCATTCGTCCAGAAGGATCATTGAAGTCTGTAATTTATCACTTCCCTATTGTAAGTGCAAGAACAGCTCTAAGCAGAACAAGTCTTATCTCATTGATAGCTACTTTGTCACCTTGTGGCTGCAAAGCATTCAGAAATGGCATTTGGTAGGTTAGCTGCAGATGGCATCAAGGGGATTCTGAAGAAACACATTTTCTGGTTTCTTTACCGTTATTCCTTGACACAAAAATGCCCAAACAACTTCGCAGTGACTGCACTGCATTTTTAAAATAAGGACACATCTTCTGTGTCAGGTTTCATATGTTCCTGGGCAGACTTTTATGGGTTTGGAGCTAATCCAAGAGCTAGCTTCTCTGATGAACATGTCTTGCCCCATTAAGCTTCAGCATTAACACCACTCCCCCTCCACAACCATTGTTTCTCCTATATCTGGTTGTGGGAAAGTTAGACTTCTTACTAATACCACCAGAGTTTGTGGCTTCATGGTAGCTATTTTTCTGCAGCCCATGTCTAATCACAGTGTACCCAAGAAGCTTAGTGCTGTGTTGTAGCAGACTACAAATTAGCTTGCTTTTCCATTAAAATACTCTTAGTTTATTCTTTTCTGTGTGGTTATAAAATTGACTGGCTGAACACTTGGGCACTTGTGTGTTTTGTTTGTCTAAATGATTGCTATTTAAATGGCTTAATTGCATTCATTCCACCTTTTTATGGTTGAGCAAATGTCTATTGCATATTTTTTTAAGATGCAAAGAGAGAAAATTCATTTGGAACTCGGGGAAGAATTTTATTAATATGTGCCAGGGTGGTTTGAATTTCAGAATGGACCTTATTTCTTGAATATGTATTGTGGCAACATAAGTTGTACGACCTTCATAGCCCTGAGAAAGTGCCAGATAGTCCAGCTGGTTTAGCTAGAAAAGTCTGTAGCTAGTACTGAGGCTATGAGGGTAAATTCTGTGCTGCTGCTGAAGAAATATAGAGGCACAGGCAGGAAATGAGGATTATATAGTTTAAAGGAATAACCAAAAATAGGAAGGGGAGAGAGGGGGAGAGAAAGGGACTTAGTGCTCTTCTGAAAATCATTAACAGTCTTTGCTGTAGGCAATGTTAAAATCAAACTGGTTTTCTCCAGTGACTCAACAAGATGCAGGCATTTAAAAATCCTCTCTCTCCATGACTGAAAAGAGAAATTGGAAGGACTTAAACTTGATAACTGTAAGCAGAAAGGTACCAATGAAGCTGGTACATTTGAATACTACTCCTGATGAATTTAATCTTCATGTTGGTTAGTGAACTACTGTGAAGATATCCCAATTTTCTACAAACATATATGATTTGTAAGAAATGGCTGAAAAATCTGAGAAGTAATACTTCTGTTCTGTACAGCAATTAGGCCTTGGCCAGGTCCTGTTTAATATTTATGGTATATAGCTATTTATGTCATAAGATGTTTTCCTAGTATTTTTAATTTGTATTTTTCTTTCCCAAGTGAGTACTCAGAACAGGAAAATCGCAACTAGTAACTGCATTTTCATTTTAGCCTCACAATTCCTCACAATATAAGTCTTAAAAATGTTTATGCTCACTTCCATATATCTCTTGCAAAGTGCTCGTCATGTTTGCTCTTACATAGGAAAAAAAAACCCAGCTCTAAATTAGACTTAGCTTTAGATTCAAAACATCAGCATACAAAGAGTTAGTAGATACCTTTCCAGACTAAAAGTATTTGAATTACACATCTAGGGATACTTGTCCTCCTATGAATGTTTAGTATCACAGACACTAAATATCACAGAATTACACTATCAGGTTGAAAGGGACTACATCTGGTCATCTGGTCCCACCTCAGTCCTCTAGCAGGGTCATTTTATGGCATGGGATTTTGTCCTGGCAGTTCTTGAATATCTCCAGTGAGGGAGACTCCACAACCTCTCTGAACAAACTGTGCCACTGTGCAGTCACCTACACAGAAAAAAGTTCTTCCTAAACCCTTACTAAAATAGCTTTCTTTTGTCTCTTCTGTGACAGCAAGAATACAGACAATAAAAAGAAATAAATCCAGGGAGTGGTTCACAGGTGTTGAAGACTTGTCTAACTTTACTTAAAACAAAACAATTTATTTTACAAACAAGAATTGGACTGAAGTTCTTCTACTGCACTTAGTATTTCACAAAGGTCTATACTTTCTTTAGGCTGTGTGATCCATCGGTTTATGTGGTGACCAAACAACCACCTAGTTACTGCTACTATGTTGAGGTTAACACCCTCTTGTGTTTTTCTTCTTTCCTCTTCACTGCAATATCTTCAGTAATTTCTTTTTAACATGAATTTATTATTTTCACCTGTAAAAATAAAGGGGGAGGAGAGTAGTATTGACTCTATTTGGTGCTTAAAATATCTCAAAATTAGTAGTATGAGATTTCAACTTAGCTTACAGACTTTGCCTGTTCAAGCTGCATGTCACAGCAAGTGATAGAGATAAGGGGGAAAAAGGTGAAAGGCAAAACTGCAGTAGTGGGAATGACAGAGGCAAAGTGCATGCAGTTGAGAAAACCGACTTCAGGAAAGCTGAAGAACAGTTTACAGGTAAAGCAATTTCTTTGCAATTTACAATCAGTTATAGGCCTGCCTTGTAAGCTAAGTCAGTGTCATCCTTGACAGCTAAGACCAAAATTATGAAGAAACACTGAATTCTTGTACTACCTTGCCTATACACATCGTGCAGGGGTACCCATCTCATCTTAGTGTATCCATGGTTTGTCCAGTTGCACTGAAACTGGACTTGCACACTTTGTTTGCTTCTAAGATAAATATATAAGTTCAACACAATATACTTCACTGTAATTCACAAAGGGCTTGTCATTGTACAAACCAAACCCACAAAGTTACTTTGATAAATATCCTTGCTCTTCATTTTACACATAATTGCACTTTACGGTTACCAGAATTTCAAATCTGCTTTGTGGAATTTAGATCATGAAAAATACTATTATAGTTCTTTCATGTTAAAGAAATTTCACAGATTGTCTACTAAATTTAGAAGTTATTTTTCTCAAAGCCATTTATGAAGTCTCTGACACCCTCTTTTCTGCTTTCTGCTTCTGTCCGGCGTCTCTGGCTCTGATCTTTTCATCTGCTGTGTTTACCTTTCTCTTCCTATTTTGTCAGGTGCATACACATTTGCAATTAATATTGCTGTTTTCAGTAGCCATTTCACATGTATTCATTTTGACATCAGATTAATAGACTGCTTCCCTATTAACCTTTTTAATTTTCTTTTTTTCCTCTGTCTTTTGTTTTGTGTCCGTTTTCACACATCTCCTATGTGAACAGGATGGAATAGTTTTATTTCCATTGTTATACTAGCCCCAAATTGCCTAAAATACCTACTTGCAACTATTATTCTTAAAATCTAGTGTACAATACAATGTTTAGGAAGAGCAACAATGCAGGGGCCAAAGAAAAGTGGTGAACTTATATGTAGGGCAATTAAAATTAAGACATGGTTTTTTTGCAGATGACACGCCTGTAGTCAAAGTCAGTGTATGACTTCTAAACTCCTGGATACAGAGTGTGTTCCCTGAATCTGAAGGCTTCTGGATTATCACTTCACCAAGTGAACTGTGATGCAGCAGAAGTGAAGTGATTTGTGTCTTACTCACCTTGCAATCAGCCACCCTCTCTGTGGAGGTGAGCCTCAGCAATGGTAATACCAGTGCAGTATTTTATATATATATATATATATATATATATATATAAAGGCCATGCACTTTGGGGGGAACCAGAAGGTTCACACCAAGCTTTGCACCTTCTAATCCTGGAAAATCTGCATAAATATTCAATCAAGAGATACAGGTGAAATTATTTTAATTAGAGAGTGGTCTGCCCTAAAATATGAACCATTATTAGGTCATATTTGCTCTAGCACTGGATTGAAGGCAAGAAATAATTATATTCTGAAAGAAAGATAATTTTAACCAAAAATAACTTTTTATCAGACTATAACAAGCAACCACATGTAGTCAACAGTGAGCAAGCAGAGGGACTGAGGCAGAAACATTCATAGCAGTACCTTCCAGTTCAGTTGCAAGCTGCTGCTGTGCTGTCATTATTTGCTTCTGGTCTTCCTCCAGCTGATCTGGTCCCTGGACAGCACAGCAGCTCTCCACCTGAGTCCCTGGGACAGGCACATTTCCCAACAGAAAACACAGGCCTCAGAGTTCTGTTCCTAAGGTATAAGGAAAAGGCACACTGAGATATATTCATGCCTAACAAGACACAGAAATTAGGATAGTCAGCTCCTGCTGAAGTCAACCTTCTAGCATCCCAAACACCTTTTAAATCTAGCATGACTCAACATTGCTCTATTCCAGTTTGCACCAGAAAACAGAGCTGTTACCCTCTAGCTCCCTTTGCAAGCAATGGGTAAAAGTAAGATTTTATATCAGTTTCTCTGGGAGTGTATTTAAGGACTTCAGAAGCCTGCAGAAAGTTCTTCAGCAGTTTGTACCAAATTTAACTGATTTAAATAAAGATCTGTAAATATTGTTCCATTCCTTTTTCTTTCTTTTTCTTCATGTGAAGCCAGAAAACTTCAAGACTGACTTAGTAGAAGCTAATGCACTGAGTTCATTATTTCCTCTTTCCATTTTTCTTTAAATGGAACACAAATTTCAGCTAAGTGACAAATTGACTGAATGAATTATTGTTTTGCAATCAGGCCTGGTTTGCCTGGCATGCTTACCTTTCAGCTGCTTCCAGTAGCTTGAAAAAACTGTCAATATTTAGCAGCAGTGTTGCACAAACAGAAACTCTTCACTTGCTTCGTGTACCGGACATGTATGTGTGGTTAAAGAATTAATGCATAAGCAAATGGACTGATAGAAGCACTGCAGTAGCTTTAGCTGATTTTGCAGCTCTCTTTGTTTTGGATATCAGATTAGGAATTCAATCCAAGCACTGACACACAAAGAGAGAAGTCTGGCTCACGTTCCCAAATCCACTCCTTTTTATCACGTGTACATCATCCAAGAGCAATCATGGATATCTCCACAGTGCACTACCTCACTACACATACAGAACAGTTACCTGGGTTTGTTTCAGACTGGGATTAATGCAGACCCTTCAGCTCATGTCTCCTGAGATAATCAGCCACATTATGAAAAAAGGCTCATTAGCCAAACTGCAACCACCTTACAGAGCTGCCATTACTCCTCTGTGACATAAACTGTTTCCAAAGCTATGACGGAACAGAAGGGGTGATAGCCAACAGACCTGTCCAATTATCAAAATACAGAACATGGCATGGAACCTTTACATTTTCCAGCTTTATTAGCATTAAGATTGTAGAGCTGATGTTAAAGATTTTGTATACTTAAAGATGTCGAAAATCTGATTGGATAAAGCCAGGAGCAACCTGCTGTATCCTTGAGGGTAGCGTGGTCTTGAGACAGAGGCTGGTACCTTCTGAGATTCCTCATAAGGAAGTGTTTTTTTTATGGCATTATGATTCCTGACACCCCACTCCTTTAACACAGCAATTTCCAAATCCTTCATACAGGGAAAACGCAACTGGGGCCTTGCTCTAAATCAGATCAGATATGTCATCTAACTTAAAAAGTCCCCCAAGGATGTGGACCATCCCTAAAAAACAGCTAGGCTAGTATTTATTTACAATGAGCCAGGAGGCAGAGGAAGGGTGAAGAAGCAGGACAGAGGAACATCATAAGTGTAGAAAATCTTAAAGCTGATATTGCTGCCAGAGACAACATATTGTCAAACCACAGCTGATACTCTCCTGGGAGCTATCTTCATGGCTTTAACTCAGTCTAAAGTTGAATTGTCAGTAAAGTAGGGCACATGGAAAAACCACACCTCATTTTTTTAATTCAAAAAATTCTTTTCAAAAAGTAGTACCAATGGTACTACTAGCTCAAAGCTTTTTCAAACTTTAAGCCAAAGGTTTTAATGTGGAGTAAAGGAGGCAGCCAAACACAAACTTAGATTGCCATTTACAGGGGAACAAACCATTCTTTCCTTACACAGTGAAGTCCCACTCATAACTGAGGCTATGAAGTGTCACAGCAACAAGAACAGGTAACACTAAAACTATGGTAACAACAATAACAATTTTTATGATCTCTGCATTCATTTGCAGAGATTCCCAGGACCAAATTCCCCAAAGCCAGACTGACTGCCTTAAGAACTGCTCTTCTCTCTGTCTTGGTGGAATTTTGAGCTCCTATTCGTATGCTGTGCTCCATCAAAGCCCCTGTAGAATGAAGGTGCCTAAGCACAGCATGGCTCCACTCCTGCTTTTTAGTAAGGAGAAATGGCATGTTTCCAGGCATCCATCACTTCTGCAACTGTGGGTAGGAGGCATTAAAGGGATCGTATCTTCAAAGAAGCAGTATGAGAAGGTTTCTAGTGCCAAAACTGGAAACTGGGCAGCTTCCTCCAATTTGTTTCAAATGAAAGGCAAACACAGAGCAGCCTCTTGTAGTACCCTGCACATAACCAGCACGCTTTTCAAACAAAGATGCAGTTAAACATGACTGCATGCACATGGCCTCTCTCACGGGGCAGAGTGGAGGGTGGGCAACTGGAGACAAGGGTCAAGAAACATGATTTTTAATAATGGACCCATTAATATAGATACATTTTGGTACCAAAATGGTAATTCAGATCAAAACCACCCTTTTTTCATTTCTAAATAAATATCAATTAATTTAAGCCATTTTTGCTCCAATAGAGATATAAAATTTTTGCTTTAAAATTAAGGCTAAAAAGTCTTGTTTCGGGCTTAGTGGTCTGAAATAAATTTTGAGAAATACATATATAACCTTGACTAAGTTTATAAGGAAACAGCAATTACAGAAAACGCCACCTATGCTTTACTGCCACAAAAAATCCTGCCCTCTCAGAGAGATGGGGTTTTGATTTCTCTTTCTCTGTCCTCTGCTCTAGATTAGGCATGGAAGGGTTGAACTGATGTATGCAGGATGATAGAAGGGCATGTACCTCCAGTGGCATCCTGTCAGCTCAAGGACACTGACCTGCTCTTTGAAGATGTTTGTGGAGGCCCAAGGGCCTGTGACTAGAAGAATCCTTATACCCCAATCATGGAAAGGAGGCAGCAAGTACTGCCTCCGGACTGGACTGAGGGAAGTCCTCTTCCCCATAGGTCTTTGCAGATATGTTAATATATTGTTGAATTTGTTCCCCTATTGGTTTATCAAATTGATGTCACCCCAGTTCAGCTCCTGTTTACCTCATTTGGATTTTCCCTAAACTGTTCTCCCTTCCCTGGACTCCCATTGGCCTTCTTTTGGTGAATTGCTCTGCTCCTGTTTCCCTATTGGTTCTCCCTTTCCCTAACCCTGCCTATGCACCACTTTTCCCTGTTCCCATTGGTGCTTGACCCTCAGATCTGCCCCTCTTACCCCATATATAACACCTCCTATCTCCTTGTGATGCTTCCAGGAAGGTAGTAGCAATTACCATCTCTCACAGGCTGCTACAGATGTTGATGGTACTGTTGATGCTTGCAGGAGGAATGACCATGTTTCTCAGTACCTGTAATCGCCACTACCATTCCCAGACATGACACTATTTAGCCTTCAGCACCCTCAGTGGCCTTTTAATGGCTGCAGCCTTGCACACAGGCTTTTGAAGGCTCTGCAGGGAACACAACTGGATCTGCAGCCATCAACAAGGTAAGAGAGAGGGAGTTAGGAGGTAACTTCAGTCATTTCCACTGAAATGGAAAAAGAATAGTCCTGGACAACAGCACACAGCAGATATGAAGTCAGATGGAAAACAGCAATGATGTCTAGAGGCAATCCTTTACACATCAGAACTTGAAGACCCTGAAGCCCCTTGCTGTCTCAGGAGGTCATTCCCAGTAGCCACATTCCCCTTCCAGCCCTGAGTCTGCAGCTCCTAGCACTATCAGCTGCACTGTCCCTCAAGCCATAGACACAAAAGCAGAAGGAACTGGAGGTGTGCCATAACTGAGAAAGCTGGAGATGCCCAAGAGCTTGTGGGTACTGAGGAAGCTCAAGAGCCAAGAAGCTGAAAAAATGAAGACTTTTCGCACTGCCAAAAACTTTTAAAGGAATTTGAGCTAGGCCTGAAGAACAGAACACCAAAGGGCACAAAATCAGGAGTGACAGCAGAAAGCGGTCATGGAGGAGGAGCGGCAAACAAACAGCATAAGCCTCTGCCCTGTGTGTAACGACAGAGACCTACAAAGAGACAAAGGGAGCAAAACTGACAACAGAGCCTGCACACTCTGAACAGCAAAAAAAGCTGTCACTAGGAACAAACTGGTAGGATCATTAAGCTGTGGATCCTTTAGTGACAGCAGTCAGGGGTGCTGGAGGTGGTGCTGCCACCAAATTTTTTAAGCCTCTGCCCGGTGTGTAACTCCTGGTACCCTCCAAAGCTACAAATGTAGCAAATTTTTCCATTTTGCCTGCACACATGTGATCAGTAAAAATATCTGTCCACACTTCAGGAACAGACATGAATGTGTTCAGTTTTAATAATGAGAAATCAAAACTTCAAAACAACAAACAGAAATTCAGTAATGCAGTCACCTCCGGAAAACACGAAGTATTTTCTTGGATTTTAGAACGGAAAATGTATTAGATCTGGATTTTTCTATTGCAAAGATATATTTTGATTTTGATGTTTGGGTTTCTTTTTCTCCCAACCAAGATTTAATATTGACAAAGCCTACAAGAAGGCTGATATTTGCTCCCGGTCTAGGAATTGGCATTCCAGCTGAAAACTGACTGAGAATTTGGTAATTAGCATTTTAATTATTTTGGTAACAAATACATGTAGTAACTGATGATTTAATTGGTGAACTATATATAATACAATACCATAATCATAGCATATTTAAACTTTTTTAAATTATTGCTTCTTAACTAAAATGTTATTTCCTTATGGATCATATAAGTTTTGAATATTCAGTATTTCAGACAGCAAACTGTGCACTGAAAATAGTCAATCTGGTTAATTTTAACAGGCTTCCCACATCAGAAAGGGCACACAGCAGCTGATGCTTTTATTTTTGGCATCTTTCACTGTAGGAGTATAG